ATTTTTTGGAATCCATAACTTAACGAAATTTGGACAGAATCTCTTTTGTACGAGGAACTCTACCAAAAACACAACCTATACAATATTGACCACACCAGGTCTATCCATCAATTCACAATTGTATAGTATCGAATACTACCATAATCATCATCAGTACATACATTTATTCGTAAAAGAATAAATGTCTCAAAAGAGTCTCATATACATGCTTTTGTAAATATAAACAAGTTTTTGTTACAAAAATTATACAAGGCTAAAAGTAAATATAAACAAGAGACTATAATGTCAAAATAAGAGCCACAGATCGGCTCTGTCGTCAAAACGGGTCAATGGCCTCACCTTCGGTGGACGCCTGTGTGATATCTGAAAAATATTCCCATAAGGGTGAGCCAACGCTCAATAGGATAACTCCTATAGAGAATACCTCTCAATTTAAATGCATATGGAATGTCACATGCAATAATCATTTGATGCATTCATTCAAATATGTCTATTATGATCGAATGTCATAAATCATGACATGTTATGAGATGAGACTCAAGCAAGCAATACCAACCCCGAGCCCCATCCTGAGCTCCCATAACACATGCAATGTCATGCGTATGTATCCGGGGTATTCCAAGCCCCCATCATTGGTGTTATGTACACTCAATAATTAATTAATTTATTTTTTTTGTGTCTTTGTGGAGAGGTGATTTATGATATTACACCAATGAGACACCAACCATCAACGAATCTTCAGGACATCTCACCTGCGGCTCCGTTTCCGCCGTTACACTTTTGTGAAATTTCACCGCCAGAAAGTGTATAAATCAAGTAAGCGGGTCTTACACCCGAGGGAGAATATAACCCTTCTTACTGTCTCCAACACATTTATCCATTTAATTTTCCGTGCGATTCAGCCGAATCTTGGTGTGACTTTTTCGAGCCCACAATCAACCACCTATGTGGTGATTGATTTCATACCATGCATATACTTTCACCCATGTCAATGTCCATGAATGTAGTGCAACCAATGCATAATGCAATACAATATTTATTACATAATAAATACAATATAATGACATTTTAGTTGAATGATTTGATAGAATACACGACGAGATAGAAAATTTATTGCGATAACTTATAAGTCTAAGATGGAATATGGATATGAGCTTACATTGGGCGCAAACTCTCGGTTGTCTTGACTATCGATTGTCTTCTTCGCATGGAAGACTATTAACTTAAAATACTAATTTGAGACTACATGGAATTAGTGTTGAAAACTTCCAACACGTGACGAACTTTTAGTGGTGTTTATAATGCCCAAGCTGGATGGGTTTTGTCTTTTCAGTAGCATTATCATGGTGCTGAACTGTCTTCTCATGCCGTGGGGAACACTAGTTATTTTATTGAATTAGTGTTAGAGCAGACACGTTCTCTTGTTGCTTTTGTTTATGAAAACAATTTTGAAATCTTTAATTTTTAAATAATAAAATCTTGATGCTGTATTTTGTTTGTGAATATAGACTTGTTTGTTGAGTCAAAGTCGTGTTCTATCGTTGCGTTATTATTTTATTTGTAGCCTTGGTTTATAACAACCCCCTTTATAGATTACTCGAACAATAATTTTGCCTTTTCCAGCGCTGCTGATATTGTCAGTTACCTTCCCACTACCTTCTTCTCTACTTCGAACATTGAAAAAGCAGGACTGTCAAGGTAATGAATGAAAGGGTAAACAATCTAAGTGCAAATATCTCTGGGTATTTGCAAACAATTGCCATTTAGAGACACTAGATCTTAGCTAGAATCTTTTGGAAGGGCAAGTGCCAGAAATCTTTGGCCAATTGCACAGGGCTAAAGGTCTTAAACCTCGGCAATAAGTTGTTTAGATATAATAATGATATTGGAATTAAATAATTTATTATTACCGGTGGATTAGTAGTAAATCTCACATAAAATTAAAATTTAATTCGAGAACTTCATACACTTCAATCATTGGATTAACAATAGTTTTTAGCTTTAGATAGTGTCTACTACTAATCTAACGATACTAATGCATTAGATTTTCAGCTTAGGTGCAAGTCCAAATATTTCAATTAAAACAGTGTTTTTGTTTCATGATTTACATGGTAACTCATACTCTAGAATTTTTTTTTAATATTTTTTTTTCTGATTCATGTTAGTCAATAGTTTATTTCACTTTTATATGCTACTTTATCACTATTCACAATTGATGAATGTGGTAAGTATATCTCGATATCTATCGACTATATTACGGGTCTTAATTAAACTAATTACTTCTCAATATTTACGGGTCCTATTTAATTTAGTTATTTCTCCATTTGTTAGTTGACATTTAATAAGAATATTATATATAGTATGTCAAGGAACAATTTAGATTGCATAAAGATACTTTACGGTATTTTGGGATTTTAATTTTTTTTTAAATGAAATTTTAGCAACATTGTTTATATATTAAAATCGAATTTTAAATAGGCCTATTTAAACTTTGCTTAGGACCTCAATTTATATTGGGTTTGTTCTTAAGTCAATTTTACCATCTTGACTATTAATATGTCTAAGTCTAATCTATGTATTATGACAAAATTATATAGAATTTATCTCTGCTAAATTAATGTCATATCTATTATGATGCGTCTCAAAATTAATTTCACACCGATTAACCTACTTGTGTATATTCTCTATACAGTCCATAGAACAAAACCTCAGTAATGTAGAGGGCCACAAATTAGTGAGGAGAGTGATCTTAGCAAAGTCTAACAGGAACCCTCTTCAAACTTCCCCTTTCTCTGAGCATGCTGCTATGAAAAGGTTATACAGATTGCAGCCAAGTTCAATTAATAGCTTGATATTAGTGGGATTAAAAGGTTATCTTAGTGCCTTCAATGCCTTAGTGCAAAAGAGCACTCGATAATTTCTTGATAAGTTTTTAGCATTTCATAGTCATATCGATGCTTTTGGCAGTTTTATGCAATCCAATTTTTACACATAGGTTCTGGCACTTTTAATGTGGGAATTAAACTAATCTTGTGACAGAGAGTGCACCATAGCGCTTAACATGCCATTGCAATTAAGAAATTGAGGGGGAGAGAGAGAGTGATTCTAGAACACGTGTTATTGTCTATGGGGAGTCTCCTAGCACTACGTCTCCCCATAATAAGTCTTTAGGGCGGCAATGACTCATCTCAAATGGTATTTGCGGTAATAAATAAATCTTTTATGATAGTACTATTGTCATAAAAAACTTTTTTTTTCTTTAAAACACATTTTTTTATGACGATGAACATAGCTGCCGTGAAAATTTTTTCTCAAAAGACCCTAAGTCTTATAGTGATGCTAAAATACTTTATAGTATGAACTACACAATTACACAGAGACACATTTCTCTTGCATTACCTGCCGAGCAATCTTTCTTTTTGTAAAAGAATCAATGTTTTACTAATTAAACCTATCGGTCGGCCTTCCTTCTTTTAATTTTTAGATACAACAATATTATTTAGACATAATTATTTGATCGAATTTATTAGCCCAATCTGTTATTATCAATGAATTGATGATAATAGACACCATCTAATATTGAGGTTATTACGAATTGAACTACAACAATAAATTTGATTGGCAAGTTAGCCCGTAAGATCATGTCTAAATGGTAATACAGTTTTCGATATTGATTAGCCATAGAATGGAACAGGTTGGAGGACAAAAAATCAGGATTTATCCGCTACCGTGAAAACTTGTTTGCTTTCAATGGGAAAACACTCAGAAACTACAAACTTATCAATCAGTTCATTAATTTTGGTTCTAAGTCTGCCCCAATATTCAAGTGCACCTATCAAATCAGTCCCACTTATTTTTCTTCATTCTTCCTTCACATGTATGGACGTTCTCTGCGAGTTAATTGAGTCAAGTCCACAATCCAAGTAGTCAAACTCATGAGTCTTCGCAGTGGTATCTTTAAAACCAGCAGTTCCCCAGCTGCAGCTCTTCAATTCAATTTCACAATGAGAATTTCAGTCTTCTCCTGCTTTTTCTTAATCAAAATTCTGTCATTATTATGCACTAATTTCATTCCAATAGACAGCCAATGTCTCAACGATCAGCAGTCGTTGTTGCTCAAGTTCAAGAAAAGTCTCAATTTCAATTCAAGCATATCCACCAAGCTGGTATACTGGAATCAAAGCACAGATTGTTGCTATTGGGAAGGTGTAAATTGCGACAGCGCAGGCCATGTTATCTGGCTAAACTTGGACAATGAATCAATCACAGGTGGAATTGAGAATGCAAGTAGTCTTTTCAGCCTTCGGTTTCTTCAAAATCTGAGTTTGGCCAACAACAACTTCAATTACTCTCTTATTCCACCCAGGATCAACAACCTTACTAGTTTGATGTACTTGAATCTCTCTTATGCTGGTTTTGGTGGGCAAGTTCCAAGATTTTCGCAATTGAAAAGGTTGGTTGCCCTTGATCTATCCACCACCCTATCCACCACCCTTTGCTTTGGCGGACTTCCTTCTTTGAAACTTGAGAACCCAAACTTAAGGATGTTCGTTCAGAACTTGACAGTGCTCATGGAACTTCATCTTGATGGTGTTAATGTATCGGCAAAGGGAAATGAGTGGTGCCAGGCCTTGTCGTCATCGTTACCTAATTTGCGAGTCTTGAGCTTATCAAATTGTTATCTTTCAGGCCCTATTAATTCTTCTCTTGAAAATCTTCAGTCTCTTTCCGAGATCCATCTGAGTCAGAATAATCTAAGTTCTTCTGTTCCTGAATTCTTGGCAAATTTCGTGAATTTGACAGTCTTGCGTCTCAGTTCTTGTAATTTGTATGGAACATTTCCAGCAGCTATATTCCAGGTACCAACTCTACAGACACTCGATTTGTCTACCAATAGATTACTTCAGGGTTCTTTGCCAGAATTTCCCCGCAATGGATCTCTTCAGACACTGGTGCTTAGTTGCACAAACTTTTCGGGAACACTACCATGTAACCTTAGGATGTTGTCCAGGATAGAGCTAAGGAATTGCAGTTTCAGTGGACCATTACCAAATTCAATGACAAACCTTACTCAGCTTCGTTATTTGGACTTGTCATCCAACGGGTTTGAGGGTTCAATCCCATCGTTTAACCGGTCCAGGAATCTCACTCACATAGACCTTTCTCGTAATGACTTAAGAGAACCAATCCCTTCCTCTTTTGTTGAAGGTCTTCTCAATCTTGTATACGTGGACTTGAGATTCAATTCATTAAACGGAACGATTCCATCATCTCTGTTCAATCTCCCATCATTGCAGAAACTTCAGCTTTCCAACAACCATTTTGATGGTCAACTAACTGATTTTCTCACTGCATCTCAGTTGGACACAGTAGATTTGAGTAGCAACAATTTAAATGGACCTATTCCCCTATCCTTATTTGATCTCAAAAGGCTTAATATCCTCTCACTGTCATCCAACAACTTCACCGGCATTGTACTGCTTGAAATGATTCAGAGGCTCAGTAATCTCACTAAGCTCGATCTGTCATACAACAGCTTGTCAATTAATGCAAGTGGAAGCAATTCTAACTTCTTTCCCAACCTCACCACGTTGAATTTGGCCTCTTGCAATCTCCAAGGGTTTCCTAACCTAAAGAACCAATCAAGGCTGTTCCACTTAGACCTCTCTAACAACCAAATTGGAGGTGAAATACCAAACTGGATCTGGGAAGTTGGCAATGGAAGCCTTGTTTATTTGAATCTTTCTCGTAACCTCTTAGTGGGCCTGCAAGAACCTTTTGTTATTCCTAGTCTCAGTGTCCTTGACCTACATTCCAACAACCTCGGGGGGAAAATCCCGATACCACAAGCGTCTGTCTATGTGGATTACTCTAGCAATGATTTCAATTCTTCAATCCCTGCCGACATTGGCAATAACCTCACCTGGGCTTACTTCTTTTCTGTTTCAAATAATAACATCACCGGTAACATCCCTGAATCCATATGCAATGCTAGCTACCTTCAAGTTCTTGATTTGTCCAACAACAGTTTGAGTGGCTCCATACCCTCATGTTTACTTGAACGGAGCGAGACTGTTGGTGTACTGAATCTAGGGGAGAACAATCTCACGGGGAATATTTCTGGGACATTTCAGATTAATTGTGGTCTACAAACGCTAGACCTGCATGGAAATTTGTTGGAAGGAAAGGTTCCGGAATCTCTGGAGAATTGCTCGATGTTAGAGGTGTTAAACCTTGGGAATAATCGGATAAATGATACCTTTCCATGCTTTTTAAAAAACTCTTCCAACTTGCATGTCCTTGTTTTGCGATCCAACATGTTCTATGGAGGTATTCAGTGCAAAGAGGCAAATCACAGCTGGCCAAATCTTCAAATCATTGACATTTCTTCCAACAATTTTACCGGTGTTCTGCCCCCAAAATGCTTCTTAACGTGGAGGGCTATGATGAATGGCATGGATGATGCTGAATCAGAGATCAATCACCTGCGTTTTGAGTTCCTAAATCGATTCTACTATCAGGATACAGTAATGGTTACCATCAAAGGGCGGGAAATTCTGCTGGTGAAAATTCTGTCATTGTTCACCTCCATTGATTTCTCAAGCAACAGATTTGAAGGGAACATACCAAATACAGTCGGAGATCTCAAATCACTTCGTGGTCTCAACTTATCTAATAATGCTTTCATGGGCACAATCCCAACATCAATTGGAAACTTGACAGGGCTCGAATCTCTAGACCTCTCAGTGAACCAGCTAAGTGGGGAGATTCCGGGGGAGCTTACAAGCCTTACATTCCTAGCTTTCCTGAATTTGTCTGACAATCATCTGGTTGGAAAAATCCCAACAGGCAACCAATTTTCAACTTTTGAGAATACTTCCTTTAAGGGAAACATGGGATTATGCGGGTTTCCATTGACCAGTGATGTTGAGGACAATCATTCATATCCCGAGACTGAGATTAACCCGAATTGGAGAGCTGATGAATCAAACAGGCATTCTGATACCAAGACTCAGATTAACGGGAATTTGATAGCTGTTGAATGTGGATTCATTACGGGCTTGGGAATTGTTGTGGGACCACTTTTGTTTTGTAAAAGATGGAGAGAATGGTACTACAAGTACGTTGACCGTATTGTTTTCAAGATTCTCCATCGGCAAGAGCAAGGGAGAAAAAACCGCGGAAGAAGACCCCGGAGAAATCCAATTCGAAGACATAAGGGGTGATGAAGTGAAGCACAGCAAGTAGGGCACTTGGCTTGATTTGCTTCAACTGAAAGCAAAATCAGGCAAGAGATGTGTCTATGCTTACTCTAGTAGCAGGTCACTGCATGAAAGTATTGAACCATGAAAGTCGAATTTCTGAATAAATAAAAGCAGCACAGTGAAAATGCTAGATGTGTATGATAAGGGAAATTTAACTAATCTCTCAAAGATTTTTTTTTTTTTTTAACAAAAAAGGAAGAAAACAAGATTGAAGTCCATTTCAATCCCCTCTGGTGCAATCACCAAACTCAAGACTCTGACCTGCTATCCAATATATTTTAACAAATATTTGAATGCTACATACTAGTAACTTCCTTGTGCAAGGTAACCTTGGTGGCAAGCCAATAGAACATCACGTCACAAAGTAAGAGGGTCACAAATTAGAAGAGAGTGAGACATCATTCTAATTTGTTTTGGAGATGGGTTATCTTAATGCCCTCAATGTCCTGGTGTGAACGAGAACTCAATAATTTCTTGATAAGTGTTTAGCATTTCATAGTCATATAAATGCTTTTGGCTGCTAGCACTATATCATACATAACTATAGACAATGCATGAAGACATCCAATGAGTCTACAAGCAAAGCAACGTCTAGCTTTTTCATTTTAATAAATCTTGCAGGACTTCCAGAACATAGAGCCACAAAACCAGTGGCTGCGAGAATTTCCACTTCTATATGCAAATATATTCTTAGAAGTTTGTCTCTGAACTTAAGTTTCAAGACTTGTGTATGACAATCCAATTTTTACACATATGGGTTCTGGAATTTTCAATGTGGAAATTAAACTAACCTCATGAACGAGTTGTAACCATAGGGCTTAGCATGCCGTTACAATTAAGAAATTGAGGGAGAAAGCAATTCTAGAATACGTGTCACTATCTATGGGGAGCCTTCTGCAAAGTGTTTCACTCTTAACAATACCATGTTTGATTCTCAAGTGTTATCATACACAACTCCCATGATAATAAAATTAGCCAGTCAAGCTATATGGTGCTTTATTTTATTACAAATTGCTTTTGTTATTTGTGCAATCAAACTTGTGAAAGTAAAGGTCATGACAATTGACAAACAAAATATACTCTCCACCCAAATTAAAAATCAATATACAGGTAAGGATTGTTAAGAAATATAGGGTTATTTTATTTATTAAGGATAGAATAGTCTTTTACTTTCCCTACTTTGTTTAACTTATATATAATCTCTTTGTATTTAGGTTAAATTATTTCCTTGTATTCAATTAAAATTATGCAGTATTAATAAAACCCTAGTTTCCTCTCTTTCTTATCTCTTGTATGTCTTTAGATTGTTTAATATAGTATCAGAGCAAAGTTTCATGGGACAAGGCTTAATCTTAAACACAGTTTACGCGGATCTGGTATTTGAGAAGGTATTTTTTCCGTTTTTGGCAATCTGGTATTTGTTCTGTTTTTGCAATCTGGTATTGGTTCCCTTTTTGCAATCTGGTTTTCTTTGTTTGTTAATTATGGCTACTGCAAGAGACAATTCGCTTCAGTCTGTGAGTGTGAGGTTGGATGAAAAGAATTATTCGTATTGGTGTTATGTGATGAGAAATTTTTTTAAGGGTAAAAAGCTATGGGGATATGTTAGTGAAATTTCTGTGAAACCTAAGAATACTGATGCAGGTTATGCTGATTTGATAGATGTCTGGGAAGCAGACAATGCAAAAATTATTACTTGGATCAACAATTATGTTGAGCATTCTATAGGTACGCAGTTGGCAAAGAATGAGACAACAAAGGAGGTTTGGGATCATCTGCAAAGGTTATTCACTCAATCAAATTTTGCAAAGTAGTATCAATTGGAGCATGACATACGAGTTCTTCAACAAAAGAACATGAGTATTTAGGAGTTTTATTTTGCTATGATAGATCTTTGGGATCAATTGGCTCTTACAGAATCTACTGAATTAAAGGCATGTGGTGCCTATATTGCTCGTAAAGAGCAGCGACAACTGATATAGTTTTTGATGGCACTTCGTAGTGATTTTGAAGGACTTAGAGATTCAATTTTGCATCGTTCTCCACTTCCTTATGTTGACTCAGTTGTCAGTGATTATTGGCTAAAGAGATACGTCTTAAGTCTTATTCTGACAAGGGAATTCTTTCTACTGCTGATCCTTCTGTGCTAGTAGTACCTTCTAAACCATTCTCTCATAATCCGAATAAGCCTTACACAAGACCTGCCTTCGACGAGTGCAGTTTCTGTAAGCAGAAAGGTTATTGGAAGGCTCAATGTCCCAAGTTAGGACAACAGAATCAGTCGCAACAGCAATCTCAAGCTTAGAAGTCTAGCAACCAGTCACAATCTAATTCTTCTAGACCACCTCAGGATTACAAACCACCACAGTCTAATAATGCAGCAATAGTTTCATCAGGTCCTTTCACCGATTCTAGTACCTTGGTTGAGCAATTTCATAAATTTCTCTCCTTACAGCCACAAGCTATGTCTGCTTCTTCTTCAGGAGGTCAGTTGCCTCATAGTTCTCCAGGCATGTCACATTATGTATGGGTCTTGGATTCTGGTGCCTCACATCATATGTCTCCAGATTCTTCATCTTTTGCTTTTGTATCTCTTTCATCTTCTATTCCTGTTATGACTGCTGATGACACTCTTATGTCTTTAACAGGTGTTGGTTCTGTTGTCACACCTCACTTGTCTCTCCCTAATGTTTATCATATTCTAAAACTCACATTAAATCTTGCTTCTGTTGGTCAGTTATGTGATTCTAGAAATTTAGTCACATTTTCCTCTTCTTCTTGTTATGTGCAGGATCTGCAGTCTCAGAAACTGATTGGGACAGGCTGTAGGAAGGGAGGACTATATATTTTGGATGAGTTAAAAGTGTCAGTTACTGTTGCTATTACTAGTGTTGATTTATCTTCTTTTCGTTTGAGTCTTTCTTTTTCTAGTTTTTATTTATGACATTCTCGTTTAGGTCATGTTTCGTCTTCTCGTTTGAGATTTTTGGCATCCACAGGGGCTTTAGGAAATTTGAAAATTTGTGATATTTCTGATTGTAGTGGATGTAAACTGGCAAAATTTTCAGCTTTACCTTTTAATCGAAGTATTTCTATTTCTTCTTCTCCATTTGATTTGATTCATTCTGATATATGGGGACCTTCTCCTGTTACCACAAAAGGAGGGTCTCGATATTATGTTTCTTTTATTGATGATCATACTCGTTATTGTTGAATTTATTTAATGAAACATCGTTCTGAATTCTTTGAGATATATACAGTCTTTCGAGCTCTTGTCAAAACTCAACATTCTGCTGTTATCAAATGTTTTAGGTGTGATTTGGGTGGGGAATACACTTCTAATAAATTTGTTGAGTTGCTTACCTTAGATGAAACTATTCACCAAACTTCGTGTACAGATACTCCTGAGCAAAATGGTGTTGCTGAAAGAAAACATAGGCACATTGTTGAAACTGCTCGTTCTCTCTTGTTGTCTTCTTCTATTCCTAGTGAGTTTTGAGGTGAATCTGTTCTTACTACTGTAGGTTTGATTAATACAATTCCATCTTTTCATATTTCAGGTGTTTCTCCTTTCGAAAAGTTGTATGGGTATGCCCCTGATTATTCTTCATTTAGAGTTTTTGGTTGTACTTGTTTTGTTCTTCGTCCTCATGTTGAACACAAACAAGCTGTCCTCTCGATCTGCTATTTGTGTCTTTTTTAGATATGGTGAAGGTAAAAAGGGGTATCGTTGTTTTGATCCAATAACTCAAAAACTTTATGTGTCTCGTCATGTTATTTTTCTTGAGCATATACCTTTCTTTTCTATTCCATCCACTACTTATAGCTTGACTAGATCTGATCTTATTCGTATAGATCTTTTTTCTGATGATTCTGATAGTTTGTCATCTCAGATTTCTAATACTTCAAATACCAGCACTGATCATTCTACAGGTACTGACACTTTACTCTCTAGCACACCTGAAGCTACCTCCTCTCCTATGGTCCCTCAAGCTCCGTCTGAGATTGTGAATCCACCTCTACGTCAATCCACACGCATTCGTAAGTCCACAAAGTTACCAGATTTTACTTATTCTTGTTATTCTTCATCTTTTACTTCCTTTTTAGCTTTATTCATTGTCTCTCTGAGCCCTCTTCCTATAAAGAGGCAATTCTTGACCCTCTTTGACAGCAAGCTATGAATGAGAAACTTTCTGCTTTGCATTAGACAAGTACTTGAGATTTGGTTCCTCTACCTCCTAGTAAGAGTGTTGTTGGTTGTTGGTGGGTGTATAAGATTAAGACCAATTTTGATGGATCTGTTGAGCAATACAAAGCTAGGTTGGTTGAAAAAGGGTACTTTCAACAGTATGGTATGGATTATGAGGAGACATTTGCTCCTGTTGCAAAAATGACTACTATTCGTACTCTTATTGCAGTTGCTTCGGTTCGTCAGTGGCATATCTCTCAACTTGATGTTAAAAATGCCTTCTTGAATGAGGATCTTCAAGAAGTTTTATATGACTCCCCCTCCTGGTGTTTCACATGATTCTGGGTATGTTTGCAAGCTCAAGAAAGCGTTATATGGTCTCAAACAAGCACCTCGTGCTTGGTTTGAGAAATTTTCTGTTGTGATCTCTTCCCTTGAGTTTACTTCTAGTAATCATGATTCTGCTCTTTTTGTTAAGTGCACTGATGCAGGTCGTATCATTCTATCTTTATATGTTGATGACATAATTATTACTGGTGATGATATTAATGGTATTTCAGTTTTGAAGACAGAGTTGGCTATACAGTTTGAAATGAAGGATTTGGGTTCTCTACGATATTTCTTGGGTATTGAGGTAGCCTGCTCACCCAGAGGTTATCTTCTTTCTCAGTCGAAATATGTTGCAGATATTCTTGAGCGAGCTAGACTTACTAATAATAAGACTGTAGATACTCCCATTGAGGTTAACGCAAAGTATTCCTCTTCTGATGGTTTACCGTTATCAGATCCTACTTTATACCGTACTATTGCTGGGAGCTTGGTATATCTCACTATTACTCGTCCAGATATTGCATATGATGTTCATGTTGTTAGTCAGTTTGTTGCTTCTCCTACTACAGTTCATTGGGCAGCAGTTCTTCGTATTT